TAAATAAAAAGGGCTGGAGAATATAGCAAAAAAAAAAAAGCTTTAAAAAATTAGTAAAATGATCAATTAGCCAACAGATAAATAAGCAAAGATATAAAAAGACTTTATAGGGCAAAAGACAAACATAGAGTTTATAAGAAAAAGAGATTTTTTAACATATGAAAAAATACTAAAAAATTAAAAAATATAAGTTAAAAACTGCAGTGAAGTACAAATTTTTGCCTATCAGATTGGCATGGATAAAATTAACATATTCTCTTAGGAAGGATAAGGAAAAAGAGGCAATGAGACAATGAGTAAGTTGTTAGAAGGAGTGTTTGGTGGAAAATTTGGTAGTATGCAAACAAATTTAAAATGCAAATATACTGTGACAGCAATTCTATTTCTAGAATGTTTACACATGTGGACAAATATGTACGTGCAGATATTAATTTCAGTATTGTTTACGAGAGCTGAAGACTGAAGCAATATAACTGTCTGTCCAGAATATATTGCTTTAGAAAAGTATAATAAATTCATACAATGAAATATATAAAGAAGTCTAAAGAATAAGCTAGATACATGGATGGATCAAGCCCAATTTTTTGCTGAGTAAAAAACCAAGCCAAAAGCCAACTTGCAAAACTTAGTCTATACCCATATTTTTAAACAGTGAATGTAGTTATACACATATCTGTGCATTTATACACAGGCTCTCTCTCTGAGAGGATGTAGAAGAATCCGTAGCTATTGATATCTCTAAGTAGTAGAATGAAGGAACTGGGGGTTAAATGGAAGGGGAGCTTTCAAATTTCCATTGTATACCCTTTGATATGGCTGGGCTTTTTGTTTCTTCTGTATGAATACATTACTTAAAACTCAGATATGAAAATAACATTCTAAATTGATCCTTTATTGAAATAATGTGTTATCAGATGTTAGAACAATAACCTGGAAATTCTAAGGCCTAGTTCCTATTCTGGGTTGCAGCAATAGCTTTCTAAATAGCAGATTCTAAAATGTATCTTCTTAGTATGTCATTTTTTCAATGGTAAATTAGGTCTTTGACACCTTCTTACCTACTATATATTGCTAATATTGACTAATTATTATTTCAATATTTTTGGAGACATCTAATGATTTTTGTGTGTAAACATATGCACATATTTGGAGCAGTTAGCCATCAAAATGATATTTACCATGTTTACCACATTTTAAGCTCTATATTTGCTTTTTCTTCTTCACTCAGCTGACATATTTCTAAATAGGATTTTTGAAATATAAAATATTACTTATAGAAGACAACTACTCCATTAAAAACAGAAGTGCTGACACAGACATAATCTATAAGTTTATCTGACTGCCAATGATGTGTTGATATATATTAGCTTATATACACAAATTCTATACAAATGAAGAATAAATCCACACCATTTAGTTGGCCAGCCTTACTATGACCCTCTTAGCTGTTGTAATATTATCCAACTCATTGTTCAGAGTTGTTCCATCTGTATTTTTTGGTTATTGATACACAATGTGAACAACCAACCATTGACATTACATAGTAAAGTCTGTTCTGCTATGACATACATAGCAGAGGACACAGTGCTCTCTGCAGATCCCTTCAAATACCTTTAGCATTATTGTGCAGTGTGCATTCACTCACAGCAGTGCCATCTATGTTTGAAGTTCTCAAGAACTTAGTGATTGGGAATGTCTTCCTCAACCCCATATCTGGCCATTAGCAAAGACCAACAGATAAGAAAGTACAGATACTCTAGCTGCCATCCACCTGACCATGATCTTCAGTATTATACTTCAGGATTGAGCCAAAGTGACCTTCCATGGGACTTGCTTGCTTCATTACATTTCTCCAACCTATTGTTTTTCTCCTAATATGTCCTAGTAAATCATCTTTACATGAATCATTGCCTTAGGGCTGTTTCTAAGAAACCCAAGCTAAAATAATGTGCTTCTCTTTTATATAAAGTAGCTCCTAATGGCCAGCAGATAGGGAACTGACATAAATATGATAAACTGAGTTGACTCAGAGGGGATTTTTTCCAAGCTCATTAATGCTTTACAAAATGACCAGGGTTCTAGTTTCTGATACTTAAAATTTTCAAAGAGAAAACTTCAGCAATACATAAAAACATCAAAAAAATTAAATAAACCTCAAACAATACCGAAATATATGTACACAAGTTTATTCACTATAGCATTGTTAGTGACTGCAAAATACTGGAAACACACTCATACAAATACACAGCAAAAGAAAGCAAATGGTTAAATAAAGTAAGCTATATCCATATAATGGAGAATAAGAACTATAAAGAGATGTAGAGTCATTTCTAGGGTATACTGCTAACTGAAGGAAAAAAAATCAAAGCCCAAAAGACTATTTATATAAAGCCATACACTTTAAATATATACATTTATAAAAATACAATACATCTCATAAAGATGGGGAATAAATAGAAATTAAAGTCTAAGCTGATAAACTCAAATTTCAAAAATGTCATAACAAAATTATAGTTGATATATTTATAAACATTTCTCCCCAAATTAATTTAAAATTAAATTTCATACTGAAATGTTAATGAAGAAATAAATATTCAGACAATGAATTACTTTGGTGGATAATCACAAACTAGCAATAGTTTTCTGATAAAGTTGGATTTGGGTAGTATTATATTTTAAATAATGGCTTTTTAATTTGTATATATGTTCATATGTTGTATTAATACTTCACCATAGTTCTTCAAACAGCATTTAGATCAAAACAAAATAAAAGAGTATTTGTACTACCTTACCCTTTATCTTAGAAAGAAAGGCTACAAGAGAGTGCTTACATATCTACTTATTTGTGCAGAAGAAATAAAGGGAAGATAAACAAAGAAGAAATATAAATACTAACAAGTGAATCTAAGTGCATTTCAAATTAATAACAAAAACACAATGGCTGGGGTAAAGAAAAAAGATCTAATCTAAACAACTTTGAAAAATCTTGTAGTATCTTGACTGGATGCTACAAGCCTAAAGAGAAAATGCTACAATACAGGTGGGAAAATGTTTTTTACAAAGGTATGGGTTAGTAAATCCGAAACTATTTTATATGAACACCAGAAGTGAACAAATAGGAATGAACTGGGTTTCCCACTATCTGAAAAGAGCACTTAAAAAACTACTAACGGGAAAAGTTAAATGAACCCTGTGGCATAGGACTGAAATCAGAGGTACCAGTTTAAAGCCATAGTTTTAAAAATAAAAATACAGACCAATACATATAGAAATAGAGCTGTGTGTATGTGTAGAGGCTGGTATGTATACATACATTTCCTGGGTTTGCCAGCAGAGAGGAGCTCAAAACAATGACACTCAAGTAGCAATGAGCACATCTCACACCCATCTCTTGGTTTCTAAACACCATTCTCCAACAAAAGGAACCAGAGTTCTTTAGAGAAGTGGTCAATTCCAGGATGTGGGCAATATAAATAAAGATCAGCCTGGAATATAGTGTGGTATTAGAAAATAGGGAAATGCTAGGGGTGAGGGACACTGTTGAAAGAAGACAAAAGCCATTCTGAAGAAGCTTCTATTGGCCCAAGCTGGAACAATCTGAGCACCAACTAAATAATGATAGTATTGGGTTTTTAACCCACAGAATAAAGAAAAATTTTAGAATTCTTACTAAATTTTTTTTTAACCTAAAATATAAATGTGGGAGAAGGGACAACTCTTCCTTTAGGTAGAATTCCACTGAACAAATAAATATAGCAGAGAAAAAGTACAGCAAAAAATCACCATTAAGCAAATGTTATAGGCAGTCTGTTACAGGCAAATACACCCATGGATAAAATGAGACAGCAAAAGATTGAGGAAAAAAAAAAACAACACGATTTGCAAGTCTAAAAGTATCATCCCAAAAAAACTTATCAGGAAAAAGACATTTTAATATCATGAAGCCCTTGACATGACATACTGAGAAGGATTCAACATGATTCCTGTTTTATTTTTGCCAGATATGCTTAGTTTCATTCCAACCACGAGAAAAATACTAGAAAAACCAAACTGAGAGAAATAACTAACCAATACTCATTAAAAGGAGTCAAGGTCATGAAAGACTAAGTAACTATTATGACTGAATAAAAACTGGGGGACTTAACAATTAAATGCAACATGGTTTCTGGGACAAAAAAAAAAGAATGTGGGTGGAAAACTGGTGAAGATCAAGTAAGGTGTGTAGCTCAGTTAGTAGGACCAATGTTGACCTCACGTTCTTCATAATCATCTGCACTACAGTTATGTAAGGTTAACATAAGGAAAAGCTGGATGAAGAATACAAATGAACTCTGTACTTTTTTAAATAAAATTTAAAAACTTATTTAAAACTATAATTCATTCTAATAAAAAGTTAAAATTTTTAAAAACTGAAAATTCCTTTAGCATTAATGTAGCTGTTTTAATAGCTTAAGAATCATTTACGCATTCACCCATGATAAGCTAGCTAAGGGGATCTAAGAGGCTGGATCTACTAGGCAGTGCTATTCACATACAGTTCTCTCTAAAAAAACAGTCCTTAATAATAGAGCTACAAGCTGCTTTCCTTTGTTTGCTTTTAATCCCTGTCAACTAAGATAATGAAGTGATTTTTTTTTTTTATGTCATAGGTAGAATGGGCTTCACATAATGGTTTACATTAGACTATCACTCTGATCCGCAACCCCAGCATAATTTTAAAATTCATCATTTTAGAGTCATAAGACATAAACAAATACCTGGGCTTCTAGACTATGAATTTTTGGCCTTTTTTCATGCTTAATAATGAAGTCAAAAAATGGGGAGTTAGAACTCCAAAATACCATTGTTATGTTCTTCATTCATTAAACATAACAATTTTTCTACTTTATTTCAGTTTTTATTTATTTTTCAGAATTGGGACCTTGTGCATGCTGAGCACATGCTCTACCACTGAGCTATACCCCCAGCCCCCAGTCTATTTTAAAAAGTTATTCTCTTACTTGGAATATGCTGGAGAAACCCAATATGGGTTATCTTCTGCTGCTTTGGCATGACGCAAAATGGCTTCCCGGGGATTACTGTCATCTGTCTTATCCAAAGCAATGTTCTTCACAATGTAGGATGATAGAGTGCCCCCATGGGTTCCAACTCTGCCACCACGACCTGTTGCAAAAACATTTAAATACATAAGTCATAATGAGCATGACATTATGGTTATAGTTGTGTACACTGTACTTATCTGAGCACAAATCTCAAGACTACCTTGAGTATCATCCTTTCAGTTTTCCTGATATTCAGAATCAAAGAAGTCACCAGACTTCAACTTCCCCATAACATTTTAAAGTAGAAAGTCTTCCTTTTTACATTTCATCACTGTTTACTCAATTACAGAATCACACCAATAATTACAAATAGCTTGCCTTTAAAAAATTCCTCCAGCATGAATAATTAAAATTGAAAATAAATAGAAATAACTAATATTTATTAGATGTTATTTTAGCTTTTTTGTTGTTAAGTTTGTTTGTTTGTTTGTTTGTTTGTTTGTTTTGGTACTGGGGATCGAACTCGGGCCCTTGCACTTACCAGGCAGGTGGTGGAACCACTGAGTCAAACTCCTGGCTCACTATTTTAGTTTTAAACAAACATAGCTTAGGGCATGCCATGTTCCAAATAGTTTCTAGAGACTTTACTGTGTATTATGAGAGAAAATGAAACAGCTGAACACACTGATTCACATTCTTTCACTGGAATGTAATTGCTATAGCAGATGGGAAGCTCCTTAAGGGCAGGGATTTCTTTCCTGCTAGACTGTAACAGCTACTATGGTGCTTAGTACTCAAAAAATGTCTGACTTTTTAGAAAGATAAAATAAATACATGAAGCCAAAAAACCTGAAAGATCAATTTCATAAATCATGGTAAGAGGAAATGAAGTCAGAAAATAACTTCCAGAGAATGTGTGTGTCCGGTAACTATTTGAAAGTAATGAATCCATTTTAGGAAACCTCAGAAGGGTTTTTCGATGAGCAGAATGGGTTATGTCCAAAGAAAAACAGAGAGGGAGAGAGAGCGAGAGAGGGAGAGAGGGAGAAAGGTGGGGGAGAGAATTTCAGTGGATGTTTGGGTATAAGAGGAAACCAACAATTGTATCAGAAAATCAGAGTAGGAGAGAAGCAAAGTATAAAGCTACAAAGGCAGGTTATAGTCAAACTATAGAGAACCTTGAATCCACAGAAAATAAGTGCACAGCAGGAAGCTTACAGAAGTTTGAGAGCAGTAGCAGCATGAAAGCTAACGTAATTGAGGATAAAAGCTTTGTATGATGAATGGAAGTGAGGAGGTAACCTAAGGTATGGAGCCTAATTAAAAGGTCTGCACTAATCCAGGCAAGAATATTATTTAGGATTTGATTAGGTAAGTGGGAGAAAAAATTTAAAAAATGACTGAGAGAAACACGTAAATGTTTTCATGCTGAAATGCCAAATAGATGCAGGTTCAGAGCTCAAGCTCAGATGAATGAACAGGTCAAAAACTGCAGCCTTGGGAGCCAGGACAACTAGAAACTAAACCCATGATAGCAGAAAATCCAATTCCAGTGCAGGTGTGTTCCGTACATACTATAAAGTAATGCTTTCTTGGATGCCTGGTGACACCTACTTTCTTAAAACTTTATTCATCTTCTACTAATACAGGAAGGTCCTTTTTTTTTTTCATCAGCACAGAACTAAATCATGCCTACTTTCTGCCCTATGTGAAACTGAATCCAGCCCAGATCCTGGTCAAAGGGTCTAAAGTTATATATAGTGTCAATATTGATGGCAGTAGTTTTAACACTGGATTCCAAGAAGCCCCAGAGTTCCACTGAGGTCATCTCTAGGCCTCAGGTTAGAGACTGAGCAGAAAGGGCCCCAGACTCCTCCCTACTTCAGCACATCATCTCCATCTTCATCAGTTTTATATATTGTGATTCTATATAAGATCTTTAAAGAAAATATCCTGTTGATAAAAAGAAAACATGTGAAAACCATTATCTAGAAAAATTTCTCTAAAGACAAAGAAGCACCTAGGCCCACAAGATCATCCTATCTGCACCAATCACCCCTACCCCACCCTTCTGCAAGTTGCTAGCTGGATCACAGTCACCTGGGCCTGCTACAGGAGGTTCAGGTTTGTGGGACTTGAGGGGATCCAGTCTGTCCTTCTCCAGCTGTTTCCTCGTACTCCGTTGGCGGGGCTCACGGAACATAGGCAAGGCATGAGCTGCAAGAAGTCATATTTGAAACATTTCATTATAATAACAATCCTTCATCCAAAAACATAGCAAAAGCATGACTAACTGAAAGATGAAATGGAAGTCATAATGACAGTCTTCGTCTAATAATAAAAGACAGTCTTTACTGTAACCAATTAGCCAATTTTGTTTGATACCAGACTCATTGTTCACCTCTCCTGGCAACTAATGGCACTCAGGAAACACCGTCAAACACTGTCACGGAAACACTGGTGAGGCAGTTAAAACTTAATTTCTGTGGTTTTGAAAAGAAATACTTAATGGGACTGGCTGGTATTTTTTTCTTACAGGACCCAAATGTGAATAATGCCAACATCTTACCTGTCAGCCCCAAAGTTTCCTCAGATGCCTCATAAACACTGGAATCACTTCACACGTTTCTGAAATGTGACCACCTCTCAGGAGTTGACAACACTGAGTAACCGGAAGGGAGGAGCACTTATCCCATGAAACTGGGATAAAGGTTGCTTTGAATTCAGGGATGTCTGAATTTTCTGGCAGGGGGACTACATGGGACTATAACCTTCCTTTCATATGGTACACAAAATAGAGGGTAAAGTCAGTCATATTGCTGTTCAATTGCTGTTGGGGTTTACTTTAAAGTTAGAATTAAATTTCAAAATATTAAGTATAAGAGCTTAAAAGGGAAACAGTATAACATTTTGGGGAAGAGGGAGAAAATTGTTAGAAAAAGTATTAAATAAGTACCTTTTTTCTTGACCAGAAAAGAACCAGAATAATTTGTTTCCTTACATGAAGGTTAAAATCTCCTTTTAAAAGGAAACTTTTTCCAGGGTACCAGGAAAAGAACAGCAGAGATTTAAAGGGAATTTAGAACATGAATGAAATGTCTCTTAACACCTCAGAAACTCCCAGTATCCACTCCTACCCTGTATCCCCACTGTTGACAGGGGCCAGACCACATCACTCATAGTAAAACATGCCTGCTTTGAGTAGGGGACAAGAGAAACACAACCACCCATAGCCACCCATCACTCAGTCAGGCAACATGACCGACAGTATTTTTAGGAAGGGGAAAAATAGCTTTTCACTTCAAACGACTAGAGGAATTTAAGTAGGCCGCGTGTAATTACATGAGCTAGACTGGTTATGACACTAACTTTAACACTTCTACTCTTGCAAAAAGTGTCATTGGATCTCTTGACTGATGAATCTAAGTTCCAAGGGACTTGGTCCTATACGAGACCCATCACCAGAGAAAAACCCAGCAGTACAGCACCCCCTGGCCTTTAGACTGAGACATTAATAAAGTCCACAGGGCCATGCACTAACAATTGCTGTCTCCTCTAAGATTCCTTTCCTAGCTGTATCCTCTTACAGGGCTGAGGTTATAGCTCTGGGAACAAAGATCTATCAGATTAATGAGGTTGTATGACTGGCCGAGAGAAGTTACTCTGCCTTCCCTGGTAAGATTTCCTCTCATACCTCATAT